TAAAACAAATTTATTGCCTTGTCAAAGAAGAGAGTTCAGAAGAATATCCTGTATTTGGCACAGAGTTTTTGTGCTTAATTTGGAGGCCAGACGTGCTGATGGAAATGAAGGCTTTGGAAAATGACAGTTTTAAATTAAGGATTTTTTTTTGCTTTTATGGACTACAAAGAGCTGAACTTAAACCCCAGAAAAAAGCTGTGGTGTTCTGCTCAGAATACATTTTGTTTAATATTTTGCAAATGTCATTTGGTCAATCTAATGACAATTTTAAGTTAGTGGGGTTTTTTTTTTTTTTAAACAGCTACTGCAAAGAAGCTTTTGTGACACTTTTTTTGTCATTCATTTATAAACCAAAGAATGGGATAATTTTCCATTGTTGCAGGATTCTTTTTTTGTCCTGCTTTCTTTTCACTCACCAGTGGCCTACTGTAATTATCACAGAGGTGAATTCACTTTTGTATTAAGAGAGATCTCAATATTATCAGCTGTGTAACAAACAATAGTAAATGAGTAAAACTCATTTTTGTTATCCAAAACTGTATCAGAAATACTTTAAGGTACTTAGCAAGGTTGCCCTGGCTTATTTTAAAGCCTTTTCTTTGTGTCATCAAATAAAAGCACATTTACTTGTCTTCTCATCCTTTTGTGAAGAAAATGAAAAACTCCAGAAATTTCCTTGCAAAGCAGCTCCTCCTGGTAGTTTTAGCATTTGGGCCACTTTCTGTGCCAGTAAATAAATGAAACTTACTCTTATTTAAATATTCAAGTGTCAAAGTGACATTGTTCGAGGTTTTCCTCACCCAGCAAAAAAGCTGCAGAAAAAATTCTTTTCAGAGAATGAAGGTAAGTAATTCAGATCAACTTCTGGCCATAGAAATTCCCTGAACTTCTAGATCTGGGCTATGTGCTAATTTTCCTCTTGTAGATCCCATTCTTTAGCCATTTTTGTCTCATTAAACCTGTCTGGAAATGAACTATCAGTGGGAAAAGGGCAATGCAGGGGACTCTTCATTGATGTGCAGAGGGGCCACTGTTGGGAATAACAATTCCACTGCTCCTGATCTTATTGATCATGGCCTTTTTGAAGGATTTTTTTTTTTTTTTTTTTTCCTCTCGAATGATCTTTTGATACCAACACTGAGTTTGTTCCTTCCACACAAATGTGATTTCCCTGCCAGCTCTGGACACGTTTAGGAGAACACAATTAGCTGTTAAATCAGTTGATGTTCAGAGGATATTCAGTGTTGGGAATAACAATTCCATTACACCTGATCTTACTTATTCTGCTTTTTTTTACCACATCTGAAGGGTTTTTTTTCACTCAAATAATCTTTTGATACCAGCACTGCATTTGCTCCTTCCACACAAATGTCATTTGGCTGCCAGATGAGGAGAAGTTCAGGAGAACACAATTAGCTCTGAAGTCATTAGAAGCCCATCAATGAATTTATCTGAGAGGTTGCAGAGGGTCCTGCTCCAGACAGAGCTGCTTGGGATGATTTAGGGAATAAGTTGCAATTAGTCTGTGGAAGGATAAATCCTGGGAATTGCTGTCCCCTGCATTGGCTGTGCAGAGAGCTGTGGCCATCAATTATTGCTTAATTTATTCCATTTAAGGCAAAGCTTTGACTTCAGTGGCCCTGATGATTTTCACTTAGTGAGTTGTGGTTCTTGGCCCAGTTAATTGCCTTTTTTAGTTTTTAAAGGTATCCTTGAGGCACTGGGCAGCTCCATGGCTTCTCTTGGCAGCTTCTGCTCACAGGGAGTGTCAGCTCATGGTCCTTCCTATACTTTCTGTGGAATAATTCCTTTTTTTACACACAGGGTGTTCATGAAGGGGAAATTTAATGTGTATTTCTGTGGTTGGGATGTAGAGGATGAGGCACAACATGCAGAGTGCTCTGAGTTGGCTGCAGGCTGCCATGGCCTTGCTGATGTCATGCTGAGCCATGTGAATCACAGCCTGGGCAAAAAAAAAAAAAATAAAATAAAATCCCAATAATACCCCACAGCCAACAGAACAGTGAGTGCATGAGGAAGTTCAACTCGGGGAGAATATATCCATTATTCATGCCCCACACAGGCTCATTGCTGCTTTCACTCCTTTTCATCCTTCCCCTTTGCTGCTTTATTTGTGTGCTTTGTAGTACTGGGAATGACTGATTTGGTAACTTGATAAGGGTGGCAATAATTTGTCACTCGTTTTGCACAAAGAGACAAGTCCCCTTTGGGCAGTCAGATTTTTATTGCAGCCCAGCTTGAAGCTGTGTGTAATTATTGAGTGCGTGTGTGAGACTGATCTTGCCAGCTTTGGGTGTGCTCCTCGTGTGATCACAGGGAAATTCCTGCAAAATCCTGTTTGATTGGACATTAAGGTGCCTCACTATTGAGGTTTTTTTATTGCTGGTTGGAATTTTCGAGTGGTTAATTCCTGTGTAACCATGGAATTAAGATTTTGGGCTTAGTTTGCTGCGTTGCTTCTTGTGGAAATGAGGAATGGGAACCTTTGTCCAATGCTGATCAAGAGTGAAAAGGAATTAAATGAATTTCTTTAAATGGGAGAAAAAATCCCCAAAAAACAGATACTTATTTGATTTCTCCTGATGTTATATGGCAAAACAAGAGCAGAGTAGGTGTTGGGTTTTTTTTTTCTTCTTTATTTTTTTTTTTTCTGTCTGCTGAATTTCATATTTCTCATTTATGCATTGCAGTGTCCTGGGAATAACCAGCATTGCAATGGAGCTACTGCTCACAGAAAATCTCCTTCACTGCAGCTTGAGCAGAGTAAGATCTACAGCAAGAGCTGCTCTTTTACATGATTTAATACCAATAAAAAATTATTTTAGTAGCCCTTTGGCTAAGACAGAGATTTAATCCTGGGGCTGCACAGCCTCATGGTCTGATCATCTTGTCACATAATCGAGCCAGCTGAGGTGGGAAATTGGGAAAATATACTTCCACAATCTTCTTTAAATCTCCAGAATTAAACTTTAATTGGTTTGTCCATAAAGCAGACCCTCAGTTGCTGCTAATTGTTGCAGCTAGGAGCTGTAAATGGCTGTTGTAAATAGTTTTACCCCACAGTAGTTCATGGGAGCCATTCAAGTGTTAATTTTTACACTCGGGTGTGAAATTTTAATTCAAGATATAAAATGCAAGCTCTCTTTTAAGATGTGTTACTAAACATTTACGGCTCCGTGCCTGTGAATGATCAGCAAATCAACCCCCACTGCTGCCTGTGCTTCCTGACTGGTCATGAGAGCCCTCACCCATCCCTGCTCCATGTGCACAATTCCAGAGCCCAGCTCTGCAGTCCTGGCAGCTGATGTGGGGATGTTTGATGTTCCAGCCTGACTGATTCTGTGCATTCTCACTGACAACTGGGAGCTCCAAAATCTGCATCCAGCCCAGGGACAGGCTGGGGGTTCCCTTTGGAGAGGAGTCTTGGCCTTGGTGGCTTCTTGATGTTGTCCTTGGGTGTCACCAAACCATGGGATTGCTGCTTCCAGGAGCTCTGGGCTTGGGTGTGCAGTGCCAGGAAAGGGGAGTTCTTGGCAAAGGAAGGATTTGTGAGTTTGTGTTTGCTCCTCGAGACTGTTCCCCTGGGGCTGTAATTCCTGTGGACATGGCTGTGTCCAGCCTGGGATTGTGGGGACACACACATTTATAGAGCTGGGGAATCACAGCTTGGGAATTCTCTCCAGGCCTGGATTTCTCCTGACTCTCAGCTCCATTCCCAGGCTGACAAGCTGACTGCAGCTTCAGTTAGGGAGGAGTCTCCCAGGGTGACAACACGGTGACAAACAGAGTGGAATTCATCACCAACATTAACCCCTGGTGTCTTTCCCGTGGGACACATCCTGAGGTGCTGTCCCAAGGATGTTTTTCCCAATTGTCCCATGAGCTCCTGTCCTGTCCTGGCTGCACTGACACACTTTCAATCCGGGCTGGCTGTACAATAAATTGGCCTTTTCCCCAAAAAAATCCGTGTGTGTTGCTGTCCTTTCTCTCTCTTTGCAGTAACCACACCTGGGGGGTATAAATTACAATAATTTCTCACAGCACAGAGTGACAGAGGGCATTGGAAAGATCTTAAATCCCACCCAGAGCCACCCCTGCCATGGCAGGGACACCTCCCAATGTCCCAATGTCCAACCTGGCCTTGGGCACTGCCAGGGATCCAGGGGCAGCCACAGCAAATCTGGGAATTCCATCCCCACCCTGCCAGGGAACAATTCCTGCCCAAAATCCCATCAAACCCTGCCTTGTTTCAGGCAAAAATATTCCTGTTATCAAACAATTTAATTGAATCAATAAAACACAAGGTGAGGCAGACAAATCTGGCTGTTCTAGTTTATATTTCAATTACTCTTGTTTTTTGTTGTTTTTTTTTTCCCTAGTCTGATGCTCAGTGCATGCAATACCTACAAATTGTTCCTAAGAAAAAAAGATAAAATGAGTAAAAATTCCTACAAACAGTTAAAATATTAAACATCTGCCTGTATCTTCTGATCTCTTTCATGTGCTGTGCAGTGGCAGCTGTGAGTTCAAGGGGAATTAGGAAGAGCCAGGGTTTCATGAGTGGCTACCAAGAATTTACTGCAGGGAAAAAAATGCTAATTAGGTTTTTTTTTGTTTAATTTTTAAGTAGTGGAATGAAAATTAAACCCAAACAACTCCAGCATTGCTGAGGAGGAGAATGACAAAGTGCTCAACAGAAGATGGGGATAAAGGGATTAGAGGAACCAAAAGGTTTCTATAAAATGTTGGAAGGAGTTTATAAATCTCTAATTCTGGGCTGAGTTTCCCCAGTTTATGTTGTATTTTAAATCAGTTTAAAAGTTTCATTTTTGCTGAGTTTCAGCTCAAATGTCACAGAAAATGGTGAAACCAAAGCCACCTCCTCGTGGGTGATTCTCTTCTTGCAGTCTTTGCATCACCTTTAAGCACATTAATTTTGTTAATTTGGGATTTTTTTTGTGTTTTTTTTTTTTTTTTAGGGGGCAGCACTTAAATACTTGCCAGCAATTGTCAATGATGTGAAATTGGTGTTTGACCCAAAGGAGCTCAGGTGAGTAGAGTAAATTAAGTGTGGAGTGTTAATTTTATGTAAATATTTATAAAGATAAAATATGCACACAAATATATAAAACATGTATATATATGAATATAAAACTGTGTGCTATATATTTGTTTTTATCTGTTACTATCTTTATATATGCTATATAAAGATACAAAAATACATAAAAATATAGAAATATATACTGAGACAGTGAAATGTGGATCACCTGAAGAGTTTTATCCCTTTAATTTTATTCAATTTTTTCATCCCTTGCAGATATTTTTACACAAAGGGCCTGTTTTTTAAAAATGTGTAATAAATACCTGACAATCTTTGCAGTACAAACAATTAGTAAGAATTATTAATCAGGCAACTGCCATCAAAACTCTGAAGCTGGACCATAATGTTTCAGTCTTTGAAGTATAAATTTCATGTAAATAATAAAATAATAAATAATTCAGTGAACCCTATTGCTGGATCGATGTCTCAGTAGCTCATAAACATTGTACTGTTACTAGTAAATAAAAAAGGATAAGTAGATGATGTTTAAGGAAAAAAAACAATGGAAAAACCAAATAAAAACTGATATTTCAGGAGAACTTTTAACTTAGAGAGAAAAACATCGTTTTATTTTTCATGGTGCTGTTACAAAATGAACAAAATCAGATTTTCAATCTGGTTTTACTGCACAGACCCTTCTAAATTTTGTCTGGTTTTATTTCTATGGTCTTGATATTGTCAGAAGGAAGAAAAGAGATAAAGTAGGGGGTAAAAGAAATTAAATATCATCTTTGTCTAATGTTCCAGTGGTCTGAGAAATCTGGCATTTACCTTCTTACCTGGACTGCTAATTGTTTTTACATCCACACTTCCCTGGGCTTAGCAAGTCCAGATTTGTAGATAAATAATAATTTTGGTATGTGACAGCAAAATTCCTGGGAAAAGAGAAAGGAAAATGCAGGACTTGGCCTGTTTTACCCCAAATATTACATTTTTTTTTTCTGTGATATTACCAATATAAAGTACAGTTAAATACTGGGAGTATTTAAATTGAGGTTGATTTATAATTAGATGTGAAGTCTCAACAGGAAGAGCAAAGAACCCAAGGTTTTAGGAAGGGATGCAAAAATATTGAAAAGTCTTGTCAATATTAGGTGGGAGCTCAACTGATGAGTGTGATGGTACCTTATCCTAAAATATCCATTTTTGGGGTTTTTTAATTATGTTGGTTTTTTTTTTTGTCAGTAGCTTACAGTGTTAATTATCACCTTATTTTTGCCATCCATGATCACAAGTGGATTGACGTGAAGCAAGGATAAAGTTTTTTAATTATCATTTTTTTTTGTTGGTAGCTTTTAGTGTTTTCACCTTATTTTTGCCATCCATGATCACAAGTGGATTGACGTGAAGCAAGGATAAAGTTTTTTAATTATCAAATTTTTTTGTTGGTAGCTTACAGTGTTATCTCCTTATTTTTGGCATCCGTAATCACAAACATGCTGATTGAGGTGAAGCAAGGAAAATTTGAGTCCTAAAACCTTAAATGAAACACAAAGAGTCTAAAACTGAGATAAAAGGGAGAGGACAAAAGAAATGACATTAAAAGCTGAAAGAATTTGTTGAAAACTATTCATTATTCTCTGATTTATTTATTTTTTTTTTGCCTCTTAAAAAAATTGAGTTTGCTGATTCAAACACATGAAGCCGAGTGTGTCTGGTTGTCTTGGAGTGACTTAACGATGCTTGGAAAGAACCAGAACACCAGTTCTTTATTCCTGGCTGTTTTCCCATGACTGAGGGGGACACTTTTGATAGGTTTTTATTTTATTTTATTTTATTTTTTGTGTGTGTGTGTGCAGCAAACTCTTCACTGAGTTCATCCTGAACGTGCCCGTGAGCCGCTTGACCATCCAGAAGCTTTATTGCCTCATTGAGATTGTGCACAGTGACCTCTTCACCCAGCACGGTGAGCAGCCACAATTCCAGCCCTGATTGCCTGGCCCAGCCCCTGCCTCCATCCCTGCACAGCCTGGGACACCTTCAGGCCCTTCCATGGGAAAGGACAAGATGGAAAATCCCAGCCCAAGACTGGAAAAACCCATCCCGTGCTGCCCGTGGGCACCTTCCACTGTGCCAGGCTGCTGCAGTCCTCATCCAGCCTTGGGAATGGGGAAATTGGGAAAATCCTAATGGGCACTGCTGGTTGGCAAAGTGGTAAAAAAGTGATATCCAGCCTGGCCTTGGGAATGGGGAAATTGGGAAAATCCTAATGGGCACTGCTGGTTGGCAAAGTGGTAAAAAAGTGACATCCAGCCTGGCCTTGGGCATGGGGAAATTAGGAAAATCCTAATGGGCACTGCTGGTTGGCAAAGTGGTAAAAAAGTGAAAGTGTGAAATTGCAGCAAACCTTGGGGTTTGTGATTTTAAAAAGGGCACGAAGCAGCCACGTTATTGGCCTCTGCTGCTGGGGTTTATCAGAAATCATGAATTCAGCTTTTGTGCTCAGTGAACTCGTGGGGGGAATGCAGGTTTTTTGATGTCCTCTCTGCCTTGAAGCTGTTCCCTGGCTGCAGGCAAGCAGCACAGAAACCTTTCAGAGGGTGCTGCTCATCCATGCTTTATTTTCTGCTTTCCCATTAATGGGCCAGTGAAAGATAAGTTCAGGCACTTGTCCTGCAGATTCTCTGCTTTGAGGTGAAGCACTTGATTCTTTTTCAGGCTGGCTGCAGGTTAAACTGGCCCAAACCAAGTGTTTGTGTGCTGTCAGGGGAGGCAATGAGGGAGCAAATAGGCACTGGTTCAGTGGGAGAGGAGATCTGGGAAGATTCTGCTCTCAGATCACAAAAGCTGAGGCTGCTGAGTGCTGATAAAATAAATATTGCTGGTTCTAGTTTAAAAAATCTTGGTAGATTGGCATTGTGGTGGTTTTGTACCACGCTTACAATCTCAGAAAATCAGTTTGCCATCAGTGTCACTGTGTGTAGAAATCTGGTAGAAACAGCAAATCCAGGTTTTGTCTTCACTTCTGTAATTATTTGAAATATTCAGCCCTTAAGTGCTGGATTTTCAGAAGTAAAAGGAGGAATACAGGTGGAGTTGCTGGTGTTGGGGCCTGGGTAAAATGGTGTGCCCAAGAATAATTCAGTGTGTTTTGGATAGAGCTGTGTGTCAGTGTTACTCACTTGCTTCACTCATTCTCAGCTCAATGTGTATGTGATAATTTTCCTTTTTCCTGGCTGCTCTCAGGTTGCCAGGACTTTGGGGCAGAAGTCAGTAATACCAGGGATCATCCTTTACTCTCCTGAGGAGAAGAAATGGATCTAAAACAAGAAATTGAGTGTATAACACACCTGAGAAAGGCTGGAGGGGCACGTGGTGCATTTACCAAATTAATCTTTGCCCTCCCTTGTTGAAGCAATTCCATTTTCAGAGGCAGGGGTAGGAACTGTGTGTGGCTGGTTTGTTTTTTAAACCAGACTCCCAAACTCAGCCCTTCAGAGTGCAGGGATTGGTGTAATCCAACATTATTGAGCTGCTGAGACATTGAAGTGGCTCAGTTTTAATGGGAGGGTGATTACTCAGGGCCAGGCCAGGTTTGCAGCTTTAATGGCTGGGATCTTACAGGAGGCTCCAAGCTGGGTTTTCCTGTCACTGCCTGACAGGAATGTCTTAAATCCAAGAGCCTTTGGTCAGGCTGGGATGGGGATTCCAGCCACCACTCTGGGGTTCCCATGGATGTCCAGGGGTTTTTATTCAATAAACAAAATCTGCTCTTAAAAGCTTCTCTCGCCTTGGTGCCACAGAACCCCAGACTGGTTTGGGTTGGGAGGGACCTTAAATCCCCCCCAGTGCCACCCCTGCCATGGCAGGGACACCTCCCACGGTCCCAGCAATGTCCAGCCTGGCCTTGGGCACTGCCAGGGATCCAGGGGCAGCCACAGCAAATCTGGGAATTCCATCCCAGCTCCTGCCCACCCTGCCAGGGAACAATTCCTGCCCAAAATCCCAGCCAACCCTGGAAGCCATTCCCTGTGTGCTGTCCCTCCATTCTTGTCCCCAGTCCCTCTCCAGCTCTCCTGGAGCCCCTTTAGGCTCTGCAAGGAGCTCTGAGCTCTCCCTGGATCCTTCTCCTCTCCAGGTTGAACAATTCCAGCTCTCCCAGCTTTTCCTCCTAGGAAAGGGGCTCCATCCCCCTGATCTTCTCACCATAATTCTACATCATGATCATTTTCTGAAATTTGTGTCTGAAGCCTCAGTTGTACTGGGAGCATTTCATAAACATTCAAATTCTCTTGAAAATATATCAAGCCCCTATCCACAGCCTTTTTAAAATTTAGATTTTCCTGTCCCTTGCTCTGTGGGTTGGAGTTTGTTGCTAAAATGTTGTTGCCTGCCCTTCCTGCCTCTCAGTGATTCAGGAATTTTAAACTGATAGGGAATACTTTCATCTAAGCTCTCAACTAATCCTGGATCCTGTCACACAAATGAGATTTTCTTTTCTAAAAGCAATATGCACTACAGGATTGTGGACTTAGGGAGGGCTGGCAAATGCACAGAAAATTTCATCAGCCTGTTTGTGGTGGAGCAAAAAAGGCTCTAATTCTGTGCTTTGAGAGGTCAAGGAAGATTTATTTGTGTCTCCAGAGGAATTAAAATTCAAAACACATGAATTTGTGAAGCTTGAAGGATTTGGGGGTGAGAGGGGTGGGTGTGTGAAGCAGTTTGCTGAAGCATTTTGCTTTAGTGATGTTGTTGAGTGATGGATGATTCAGTGGGAAATCTGGAGAGTTTGGGACCTTGGATCAGAATGGAGTCTGGTGATGGGGTTTGTGTATCTTAAAAAAAAAAAAGAGGTGTGAAATTTAGTTTTAAAATTTTATTCATATTTATAAACATCAATATGAATATGTAGTAATTATATAAATAAATGTTTCCATCTAGAAGTAAATGCATATATAAAAAACATTTATCCCTACCACCATATAATAACATTATATATATATAATCTAATATATAATTTTCAGTCCACTACTTAAAAATTCAACAGAAAGGCATAAATACAATTTTTCCCTGAGTGTGGAGCAGTTTAATAATAATTTAATGGATATTTTCAGTGGTCATGGTTGGGAGTTAAATCAAGTGTGCTATCCTTGCAAACGTCAAGGTTTTGGTTTGTGTAAACAGTGATTTGTCTGATTTGTTTTGTCCTATGGAGTTGTTTGGATTTGCTGTTGCTTTCTTTTCCAAATGACTTCCAGCTGATTGCCAAGTGAGCTGTGGAGTTTGAAAGAGAAAATCCAGGGATTTTTCCATGAGGAATTTGAGTCTATTGAATATTAGTAGATAACACTCAGCATTTATAAGAGTTCTTACTGTTCAGTTATGGCTCAACTCACAAGCTGTGAAGTGGAAACAAAGTTACTGAGCACAGGTTAATTTTTTTTTTTTTTGGCCACATGAACGAAATGAACCATAAAATAAATGCATTTATCAGTATCCCAAGAAGCAAAATGTTTTTATTGACAGAAATTTATGGTGTGTATTCACCTTCAGCAGAGCTCCTGTGTCTGTTCATTGAAGGCTTTCCTTGGCTGCTGCTAATTGATAATTCCTGCTGAGCAGCCTTTTAGTACAGATGAATTTTGATTCTTGAATTTCACTTTGCTCTAGAGCAGGTGTGGAATTGCCCTTCTCTGTGATCGTTGTGCAGAGATCCTGAGCTGGCTTGGGAGCAGGAAGGGATGTCCTGGGCCATGGAGGGTCCCCTTGGAGGTGTTTGTGGCAGGCAGGGTGATGTGATGAGGGGTCCCCTTTCCTCCCCTGTGCTCTCAGGTGATCAATGCAGAGTTGGTCAGTGTTTGTCAAAATAATTGATAAAAGATGCACTGAGAAATCTCCTTGTAGGGGATGTCACCACAGCCCTGGGCTGGGTGAGGCATCACAGTCATGGTATGGTTTGGGTTGGAAGGGATCCTAAATCCCATCCCATTCCACCCCTTCCATTGTCCCACTGTCCCAGGCTGCTCCAAGCCTCAGTGTCCAACCTGGACATTGCCAGGGATCCAGGGGCAGCCACAGCTGCTCTGGGAATTCCATCCCAGCTCCTCCCCACCCTCCCAGCCAGGAATTCCTGCCCAATATCCCACCCATCCCTGCCCCTGTGTCCTTCCCTCAATATTCCATTCCCTGTGTCCTTCCCTCAACGTTCCATTCCCTGTGTCCTTCCCTCAATGTTCTCTCCTGTCAGGCGGTTTTGCAGAGCCAGAAGATCCCCCTGAGCCTCCTTTTCTCCTGACTGAGCCCCCCCCAGCACCCTCGGCTGCCCCTCATCACCCTTGGGATGGTTTTGTGGAATTCCCAGCCCGTTTTGTTTCCCCCCGTGTTCATCTCCAGCCCCAGGTGGAGGAGCCCTGTCAGCTGCACCCGGGGGAGCAGGGTGTTCTGTGCTGCTCGTGTGACTCCAGAGCGAGCACTGTGACAAATGAATTCATGTTCCCTTGCTCAGAAATCAGCCTTGCCTGCCTCCCCATTGATCAGAGGTGACTCAGACATTAAAGTGATCTGTGCCCCCTCCCTGCCATGGGGCTTGGCAGGGCTGGAGACATCCTCAGCCCTCTAATTAGGGGCCTTTTAAGTTATTCAAGACTGTTTCACCTTGCAGGCTTTGTAAAGGCGTGTTCTGTGCTTTCCTGGAGTGCTCAGCAGCTGGGCTTTGGGCTTCTCCCCCTCCCCTGCATTTGGGGACAATTCACTTTACACGGCCCCCCTGCCTTTTGGGGTTTTGCTTTGTCTGCTGTTTCCTTTCCATGTTAGTCCAAAATTCAGGAAGCAGCGTACCCTGAAGTTTCTCAAATGCAGAGGCACAAGGCTGTGATCACAGAGCAAATCTGCACAACTGAGCTGTTCACTGGGCTGGCACTTATGTGAATAATTAGTAATTAATTTTGACTTGGTGATTCCCTCCATGTAAGAGCAGTCTGAGTACTTGAGCAAGGAAGAGGGATTATTTTGTTTTTTAATAGAAGCAAATGGTCAAAGGTTGGAGCAGTTCAGAGGCAGAAATTTTTGAAGTGAGGTTTCGGTTGAAAAGCTAGAAGTTAATTTGTTTTTCCTGATTTTTTTTTTTTTTTTTTTTTTTTTTTTTTTTTTTTTGTGTGTGTGTGTGTCTTATGTAAGCACTGAAGCACATCAGCCTGCAGGCCCTGAAAGCTGTGTTTGTAACCTCATGTTTTGTGTGCAGACTGCAGGGAAATCTTGCTGCCAACAATGACAGACCAGCTCAAGTATCACTTGGAGAGACAAGAAGATTTGGAGGCTTGCTGCCAGTTGCTGAGTAACATCCTGGAAGTGCTCTACAAGAAAGACGTGGTGAGTGCAGGGTGGCTCTGTGATGAGTAACACTTCACAGAAATTGTTTTAGCAATGTGAATTAAGCAGGTAACTCCTGAAACTTTAGATTTTTTAAATTTTTCTTTTATAGAACATCCTAACCAGCCTTTTCTAACTCTGTTTTCCAGTGCTGAGGATGTGGTGTGTGACATCTCACATCACAGCCAGCACAGCAATTGTTGTTTCTGAGGCACATCCAGTACAGCTTTTCTGGTTAGGTAGTGAATAAATAAATATCCTTAGGAGTTAAACCTTCATCATTTACTGTGCCTGGCCTCTTCCACGTGGAAAATGTTTTGGTGGTTTTTCTTTTCTCCCATGGGCATTTTGGGAAATGTGCATTTGAGTTGTATTGTTGCTGACGTGGTTCCCAGACATGCAGCATGTGTAATATAATTTTTTTTTTTTTGCATACTAGTCCCTTTTTTTTTTGTTTTCTCTTGACCTCAACAAACATACAAATACTGGTGCTTTGCCAGAGAGCTGCAGTGATTTGATGCTCTGCTAAAATTTGGGCTGCTGCTGCTGCCTGAACCTTCAGTGCTGTGTAGAATCATACAGTAATTCAGCTGGAAAGGACCTCAGGGGTCAGCTACTCACAGCCTCTCTGGCATCTCATTTAATTGTGGTTTTTTTGGGGGGTTTGCTCTCATTTTGTTTGTTTTTGGAAGTAGCTCTGTGTGGCTGCTTTAGAGAGGCTGTTGTTTTACAGCAGGAATTTGGTTCTGGCAGCTTGGCTGCTCCTGCCACTCTTTGTTGGCTGCTTTTCTCTCCGTGGTAGGAACTCACCTGCAGCTCCACCCTCTCCCAGGCTGATCCTGGCAGCAGGACCAGGTCCTGGGGGAGTTTGTGCTGGTGATGGATTGTCCTTCAAATATGCAAATCTATCCATAAAGTAAAAGATGGGAGCAAAGCTTATCTGTTTCTTTCTCCTTGTTGTGCTTTTGGTTTCATTTTTTGCCCATCATTCTTTGTGAGGTTTTTGGACTGGTCCTTAAAAGCTGTTTGGAATAAATATTTCATTTTAACTCTTTCAAAAGTAGTGGTAGATTGCTCCTAATACTGACTGAAATTGGAAGTTTCTTAATGAGAGTTTTGCTTTGCTTTTCTCTTCCCTTTAGTTGAGCTGTTGCAGGTCAGCCCCCTCCCCATCTGGTAATGCCTGTGAGGGTTTGATGTTGGAAAAATGACTTGGGGGAAGAAAATTAATGGGTAACTAAATGTCATAGGCTGCATTTCCGGGGTCTTGGCTTTTTGTTGACATTGTAACAGCACATTTTAATTTATCAATAACATGTATTACCAAAAGAATAAAGTGAGAGATCCATTCCCTCCTTTTGATCGACAGCAAGTGATGTTTTATTTAATTTTCACCAGCCAGGTGGGTTGAAAGGCACCACAGATGGTTCAGTTGTGTTGGTGCCTGCTGTCTGTAGTTATCACTGATTTATTCCTTGTCCTCAGGGCCCCACACAACGGCATGTCCAGATCATCATGGAGAACCTGCTGAGGACAGTGAACAGAACTGTGATTTCCATGGGACGGGACTCCGAGCTCATTGTGAGTAAACTCAAACACCTCTGTCACATCTTCCTGAACCTGCCTGTAATAGGATTGCAATCCCAGGTGACCCAAAGCAATCAAAACCTCTTCTCTCTCTGTGTGTGTGTGTGTGCTCAGGAAGCTGGAAAGCACTGCCTGGTAATTTTGCTGTGGTTGACACAGGGGAAGAGCAAAAAAAAAAAAAAAAAGAGAAATGCTTGAAAAATATCTGTGAGCAGGTGATTAGCCCAGGATTGATATCTGTGTGCACCACAATGATGGAGTATTGGTAATTAGCCAGCTGAGAAGTGTGGAAATGAGATTTGGCTGTTGTTATTGCATTACAAGCATTTACTTGTCTTTTTGACTTAAACTGAGATAACCAAGGTAAGTGTTCAAATGGCTGAAGAACAGAGGCCAAAATTATGTTTAGAGGAAAGACTGATGTGAGTGACCCTATTGACTTAACACTGTGATTTTAGAGCCTTATACCTGAGTTTTTACACTGTTAACTAGTGAATATTGGACTAAATAATGAAAATAATAGGCCTGTTGCTATCTGAGATGGGGACAGATCTGAATGTGTTTTTGGGAGTCTCTCTCTGTGTTTGTCTTTGCCTTGTGTTCTTTCTTAGCAGTCTGCATGTGGCAGCTGATGTCTCCAGGAAACTGGTGGAATTGGGCCAGGTTTGTGCTGTGTCTGAGCCCTGGTCCCTCAGTTCTGCCTCAGTCTGGGTCACTTTGGCTCACTGCACTGATTTCTTACCACGGGGCTCATTGGTAGATGAGTCCATCAGCAACTTGGTCTTTTCATTTCCTCATTCCTTCCCAATTTAAATCCTCCCTGTAATTGCACACAGTGATATTTGAATTTCACAGGGCTCTGTGTCCTCAGCCCATCTTCCTTACCTCCTGCTGCCCATTTCCCTGGCATTTGGGAGTGCTCACGTTGGCAAATCTGCTGCAATTTCATTTTGTCTTTGCTGCATCATCCACTGGCTTTCAGTTTTGATCTTCCACTCCTATCGCTTTGGCTTTTGTTGTAAGGAAGGGATAATGGATCTGCAGTGGATCCATTGTTGGAGCAAGAAGTGACAATGCCAGGATGGTTTGGGTTGGAAGGACCTTAAAGCTCGTTCTGTTCCAGCCCTGCCATGGCAGGGACACCTCCCACTGTCCCACATGGCTCCAAGCCCTGTCCAGCCTCGCTTTGGACACTTCCAGGGATGGGAATCCACAACCTCTGTGGAGAAATGATTCCAAGCAGATCATTCCTACAGAATATTCCAGGGATGCAGTAACAGTGCAAGGAAGTCCAAAGTCTTGTGTGTTACTGTAACTTCCTCAGTTTCAGGCTCAGTGTGAGTTAATTATTGTTTTGATGAGCGTGATTCAGGTGATATTTAAAAATGTTAATTATGCCTTTTGCAGTTAAGAGTAGATTTGAAAACTTGTGTGTGTGTGTGTGTGTGTGTGTTTGAACTGAGAACAGTGATATTAAAGATCTGCATTGTGCTCATGAGCACAGCCTGGAATCCCTCCACACACAGCTCTATAATCAGCTAATGAACACTGAGATTTCAGGGTATTTTTAATGAGTACTTACTCCTACCTTACATTGCAGCCTTTGCTGAAGAGATTCCCCTGTTAAATAACCAGCCACAACTCATTTTTGTGGTGTCAGCAAAGGAGGAGGAGTAAAATGAATAATTAAGAGATACACCCTGACTTCTCTTGGATCAGATTTGGGTTGAAATAATGCAGTGACTTTTCTTTGTTTAGTTTTACCTGTAGTAGAGAATTAACCATACAGGGTGACTGGAAGGAAGGAATTTGAAATATCTGACAGAGTTCAAGTAATGATAATTTCTTTAAAAGAAGTAAAATACAGGACTTAACCAGTTTTTTATTCTATAAATATATCTGTGTTGGTGTCCTAAAGCTGGCATGTTTTCTCCTTGGAGAAATACTCAGTGACTCCACCTCCATCCAAAACCTGATGTTGCATAATGCAGTTTATGAGCAGTGGAGGAATATCAAGGATTTAAGTGCTCAAGTGAAAAGTTTTAATTACAGGATGAGCCTTTTCTCCAGTGTTGAACTGGAAGGATTCTCCCCTTTGGCTTTGCACATTTGGTTTTCACTTTTTTCCTCCTTAAATGTTAATAAAATCAAAAGCAAGTTTTGTCCTATTCCTTCAAAAGAGAAATAAGAGACTAGTATTGAGAAGAACCAGGTGTTAAGTAAAATGAAGTATAAATAATAAGTTTAGAATCTGATTTGACAATAATTTTGATAGCAAAAGAATTTTTAATCCTTGTTGGTTTGGACTGTTTTTCCCTCCAAGTCTTACTGGTGGTTTTTACTTGATCTGTTTGCTGAGTAGAAGATTCTATTATTATTACTGATATTTATTTTGTATAATGATTCTATTATTAGTCCAGGATGCAGCCTGAGGGTGTTGAGCTGTGTCCTGCTGCTCCAAACTGCCTGGTTCAGGTTAATTTTGCTCTTGCCTCGAGCTGCTGCTGCTCCTGGCACAATGAGAAGTCACCTGGAAAAAAAAAAAACCACAAAACCTTTCCTACTGAAGAAAAAAGTAAATTGAACAAACTTCCTTGAGGCTTTGGAAGGGTGGTTTAAAACCATCTCTTTCCTTTCCTGGTGGCTTTTGGACAATGTTGGGTTCCACATCAGCCTCCTGCAGTGAACCAGGGCAGAGCAGCCTGGGTGGCAGCTCCAGGATGATCCATGGCAGCAGCTTGGGAGGGGCCTCATTTCCAAAGGCAAGGAAAGAAAACTCTTGAATTTGTGAAAGGAAATCTCCTGGCCTAGGGGAAGATTGGGGTTGGAACAAGATGGTCTTTAGGTCCCTTCCAGGCCAAACCATTCCATGTGGTTTTAACTTCCAGGAGTGTGTCCTTAAGGAGAGTGGCTCTGGAAAACATCTGGAGGAGTGTGGGGAACAAAGTCCCATCAGGGAAAATGGAATATTTTGGATATTGGGGGGTGTGAGTAGGAAGCACTGGACAGGACTTTGTGGTGTTGCTGATGATGGAACCTTCTCCATTTTCTGCTTTCCCCTCTGTGCTTTGGGATGAGGATGAGGGTGAGGTGAAACCAGAACAGAAATGATGCAGGAGCCGTCAGGAGCAGGAGCTGGGGTTTGTGGAATCTCTGAGGTTTCTGGAAGGAGATGGAGAAGGGGAATCTCTGTGGGGTGCAGGTGACAGCTGACACAAGGAGAGGGCCATGTAGAGCAGAGTGGCACTGATGGGGGAGCTCTGGATAATCAATCAGTTAATCAATTAATCAATCAATCAATCTCTGTGGTGAACTGTCCATCTCTCAGCACTTCCAGGCTGGAGGCCTCTCCAGAAGGCTGTAAAAGAAAAGCCTGAAATCCGAGTTATTGATGGTCACAGGACACTTCTGGGGCTGCAGTTAGATATTCAGGAGTTGAATCTGGATGTAAATTATTTTCCTGAGCCTTAAAATCTATCCAGGTCAGTTTTAATGGATTCCAAAACGTTGGAGAAAAAAAAAAAAAAACACCTCGTTTTCTTCACCAGACTTTTTCCGTGTAAAAATACTTTGCTGTATTGAGTCACATATTTTCTTCTCTTTCAAAATCATTTGAAATTACATCTTGCAGGCTAATTTCACTGAAACTGAAGTGGTGTTTGGATGGTGGCCACGATTTTATTCCATCACTAATACTGAGCATTTTTTGTGCTGTCAAACCATCCCCGTTGCATTCCCTACCACTGTTTATAGGAACGAGCTGCACTCACCTAAACAAATGGACACATTTGTAGCACTCCAGTTATTTTAATGAATCACAGATGGCTTTTATGGAATATTAAAAAACTTCATGCAGTCTCTTTTTGTTCTCCCAGATAAAATGGTGTGGGTGCAGTTGGGTTTTTAATGGCAATCTGGTTCAATTCCAGCAGCAATATATAATATGTGGTAATACACAGGTCCTGGTGTAATCTAACAGCTGACTTGGTTGGGAAGTTCATGAAAAATTACCTTATTTGACTGGAAAAAGTGATTTAACCTTTAAAACATCGAGTGGAATTCAAGGCATGGACAATGGTTTTGCATTTCAGGCAAGAAAAAGCAAACACTTGGTACCCATGGTAGGATTTTCCAATTTTAATAATTTTTTTTTTCAGTTTATCCTGTTTTTTTAAAAGTATTTTTACAGTTATTTTTGCTTTTAATCTTTAAGAAGCCAGGTGCTACTCACAGGAATAATGTTTTCCTCCTAGTTCTAAACCAAAGAATGCAAGTGTTGCTGTGTGGAAATTATAAGGACTCAGCAAAGAGCAAGGGATATAAAATCACTGCAGTATTTATTGGCTAAAAAGTATTTTGAAGCAGGAGATGGGAGAAGTGCAGCTAGAAAATCAGTGTATGAAGTGCAGGGACTGCCAGTGAATCCAGCAAAGCCACATTGAAAATAAAAATGCATTTTCCTTGTTAGAACCTCCAAGATCTTCTACATGAGGGTGAAAATAGCTCTGTCACATTGAACTAAAAGCTCTAAAGAATTAGGATTTTTTTTTTTTTTCTCTTGGTGTCTATCTAACCTGAGCCTGAGTGATTCTAAAGGCAATACAATTATGATACATTTTACACACTTGCAAAAACATTTTATTACAAAGTACATCGGAGGGGACCAGAGAACACCAGATGTCAGTTGGAAGCAAGACTCTATGGTAATGTCAGCTTTCCCCAGGTTTAAAAAAATGTAAAAAATTAAAAATTTGCAACTTCTTAAGAAAATAGCCTTGGACATGTACAGAACACGCCGTGAGAACTTTCCCTTTGAGCTCTTTGTTTCTCCAGCTGGAGTTTCCTCCCTCTTTTCCCCTGATCCAGGAGCTCTGGATCAGTCAGGAACCACAAACAGGTCGGGTTTGTGGCAGGGTCCCTGCACACACAAAGCTACTGAGGGCTGGCACTGAGGATTTGGGAATTGATTGCCACAGAGAGATGCTTGGTTTAATTTCTTTAAAAAAACCCCAAACACTAAGCCTGTTAGCATGGAGGAGTGCATTAGTTATTAATGTTCTTTTAATCATGAATACTGCTCTATTTTCCTTGTTCTGTCCATTTTTGAGATTCCTTTCTGCTTAGAAGAAAAAAAAAAGTTTTTTTTTTTTTGTTTGGAAATATTCTGAGCCATATCATGTGGGCTGTCTTGTAAACAGTTGTGTATTTTAGTTGAAAACAATATAAACCACATGAAACATGGGGGTTTTTCCACAAGAAACAATGGGACTTCCTTCCTGGTGTACAGGATCACCTTCCTAATCCTTCAACTCCCACCACAGGATTTCAGGATTTGCTTCTGTGCAAGAGCTCGTAGCCCTTGTGAAGATTTACTACAAATATTGAGCTGGCCATAGGCATCTGCATTTTTATTCCTATTTTAACTTGCTTTCCTTGCTCTTCGGGGCAAAAAAAAATTAGGTTTTTTTCAGGATTTATTCCTCTCAGGAATAAATTGGATGCTGACCTAAGAGAGGAGAAATAGTGTAAAAGAAAAACACTTTCCCAAATTTTTAGTATGTGCAAATTAATGATCACAGTCCTTGAACCTACAGGCTGAAGAATTTGTACCTTCCTGCTGCTAGAGGAGATGTAATTTCAAACCCATTTTGTCACATGATACTCAAATTACCTGAAATCCAAAACAAAAGACAAGATTCTCACTCTCTGGCCACTTGCAGCATGAGGAATTTTTCCACCAGTGGTCATTTTAGATGCAAGTTTAATGACAGTAGCAAATACTTAAAGGAAAAGTTGCAGTTTATAAGTCAGAGCAAAATTTTCAGTGCCATTTCAAAAAAACCCAAACCAAATTAGGAAAAATCGGATTCCCATCTCTCCCCCTAAGTGTTTCAATTACTGAGTACAATTAATAGCTTGAGATATAAATTATAATAAGCTGGGAAACCCATCTGAGAAGCTTAAATAAATAAATAAATAAATAAATAGCATTTCCAATTTCAGCTCCTTCCAAGCAGTGCTGCAGCCTCGACATCTCCCACTGCCTTCTGCAGTACTGGAGAGGTTTTCCAAAGACTGTTACCAAAAAATACCAACAATGCAGATTGGGATGGGTCTGTTTTGGGGTCGAGTTTTGTCGAGACCTTTCCAAGGTGACGCTGAGGGGTTGTCCCATGGCCTGGACCCTGTGAGCTGGAGGTGCTTGAAGGCTGGGCTGGATTTTTTGGGAGGTTTCTGGCCACTCCCCCCAGCTGGGGCTGAGCAGCAGCGTGGTTCTTCTGGTGGTGAGGACACAGCTAAACCAGAGATGACGTTGAAATGTGAGAGCTTGGTTGGATTCTACATCGCATGAAGGCAGAGAACACACCACAGTCACATCTCGGAGAAAAATTGTGCTTTGTCCAGGAATTCTGTGCTGAAAACTGCACTCCCCGATCAACATGGAGCTGTAAAACTCAACACCACTGCCAACATAAGGCTTGCTCGTTGTTCTTCCCCCTCCTTGTTGTCCAGAGACAACAACCCAGCCCCCCCAGCGGGCCGGGAGCGTTCCCGGTTGAACAGGTCGGAGCTTTCGCATCCGCCGAGGGGTGGGGGGTGGCAACAGTTTCACTTCCCATCTTTGTCCCAATTCCCGTGGAGGTTTTACATCCCACATTGGCAAACTGCAGGTGGAAGTGGGCAGGGGGGGTTGGTTTTCCCCAAGCCCGGGCTCCTGGGCACGAGTCCATCGCTACAATGGCCTTTGGGTAGCCACGGTGAGAGCTGCACGCTGCCCTTGGCCAGGACACTCCTCCTTCCACCAAATCCCGTCAGAGATGATGGACAGAGCTCCAAAGATTTGTCAAAGAAGGCCTTGAACTCCACACGTCATGGACTTGGGTTAAAGGAACCAGAGTTTCCATCTTCCGTGCTTTTTTGATTCAGTTTTGGATTTTTGCTTGGGAGTAGAGGAGTAGCTCTCCTGAGAATAAGGCAAAGGTGCAACCTGAGTTTCCTCAATAGGATGAAGTTTTCTCAAAACTGGCTGTAGTTTATCTTCTTGCTGTTTAAAATCCAATTCCACGCTAGAAACGGGAAGAAAAAAGCGCTTGTTAATTATGATGATAAAAACAACCCGATGTCTGAGTGCTTCATTTATGGAAGTCAAATAATAAATAGTTCTTGCACAAAAATGGAAAGGGGAAGTTCAAAAAGGGATATATTAGAGAAGAAAAATAGGAATGGGAGTGTTCAGCTTTTCCCTGCTGTTGAAGAGGGTTTTGAGGATTATGGCACAGGTGCTGGGAAGTGACTGAACACTACACATACAATTTTTTTTTTTTTTTTTTTTGGTGGAAAAATGATTTTTGAGGGCTTCCAGGCTCTGTTCTTCCTTCTGAGAGGTCAGGGTAGCAGCCAGGCATGTGCATCCTTGTTCTTGAATAAAAACTGAGGGGTTGGCCAAAACCAAGGAGAAATTATTTACCTGAGCTGTTCCTTGCCACTTTTACCGTGGAAAAGATCACGTTTGTGTTGCATGTGTAGACTCATATACATAAATAGATAAATTAAAAAGCAATTCTCCTTTATAGTGCATCTTTGCCTTCAGAAAATAGGCTGAAGCTGTAAAATCCCTGTTCTGAATTCCAAACACTGTCAGCTACAACATCCTTCCAGCAATTAAGAACCACGATTGAGGTGAAATTCCAACCCTTATTTTGAGCTTTGTGCTGCAGAGCATTTTGAGGCCACCTTATAAACCAAAGGAACCACAGCATAAAATGGAGCAAAAATCCTGTGTGAGGGTGGAAAGTGAATTTTGGCCCCTCAGAAATACCTTGGAACTTGGTGGGTTTGGTTGACCATGTTCTGCACTGAGGCTGTTCCTGTCTTGTGTAGAATATTTGGGGTTGGAAGGAACCTTTGAAGGACATCTGGTCCAACCCTGTTGCAGTGGAGCCTCTGGATATCAAAGGATGGATTTAAAAGGGTGAAATTTTAGGAATTTAGACACTTGGATTAATTTATTTCTTCCCTGTCCCCCTCCATTGCTGTTGTCTTGGGCTTTGCAGTGGCTGCTTTCATCATTACCTAAATATGAAATTATGGGCTTGAGTTCACTTTTAATTAGGATTAAATATGTTTTCTGAGCTATTTCTGCCATTGCTTGTTTGGAGTGAACCACTAGAGAAGTGAAATCTGATTCCCCAGGTCTCATCCAAAAAGAGATTATTTTAAATTTTAGTTGAAGCCTTGCCTGACTTAAGGAGAGCAGGGATATGGCACAGAACACCTGCAGCCATTTCAGAGGGAATTCTCCATCAGAATCATTAAGGTTGGAAAAGACCTCCAAGATTTCCAAGGGGAAATTTGGGTGGGCTTCACTTCACACAGGCTTTGGAAACAGAGCCCAGAATGTCATCTAAAACCAGCTGCTGATTTAGGTGGGGTTCATTTTCCTCTGAGAAGGATAAGGAGAATTTCCTGCTTTATTTTTTTAAGAGCTGCTGATTCTGACTACAAGGACTCTTGGAAAGGTGTAAGATGTTTTTACATCTGGCTGTGCCTAATTTGGTGTTTGGTTTAAGTGTAAATGCATTTTTAGCAGAAGGTTCAGCATTTCAGTGATTTGGATAAACTTTTCAGTAGCAGAGAAGAGAAATACATTAGGTAAGAATTCAGAGAGAGTATTTTACCCATATCTATGCTTTTAATCAATCAAAAGCCATTCCAAATCAAAGATAATTTCAAAAATTTCAGCTTAATTCTGGAAGTATAGAATGGTGAATTTTCAGGAAGCTGAAGCACATTCCAAGCCTGCTGATTAATGTCCCTCCTTGTTAATGGAAAAACAACGTTGTATTCACTGATCACGTGTTCTGTGTAGCTGGAAAAAAAAATTGTTTAGAAAAATTCAGCATGAATTTAGTGGTGAGATGTGGATATCAGCTCACTGGAAATGTCCCAGCACGGGAGTTGTATCAGTGAGACAGAGAAACTCTTGGAATGAGGGAGGTGCTTCTTTAAGAGCTCACTAAATCTCATTTAAAGTGCAGCATTTAGCATGTATTGTATCTGTTTTTTTCTCAGTGAAATTTTTTTTTCTTAAAAAAAAAAAAAAAAAAAAAAAAAAAGCCTTTCAGCTCTGGCATTGCCAGAGTTCATTTTTACTCCTTTCAAACATTATTTTTGCAGGGAGGCTCTTAAGAACTGCTGGAAATTTCTGTAAAAAAAGAAACAGTTATAAAACCCCCTTGCTGAAGAGACTAATTTTTTATATAATCAATTTCGATTAAAGATAGACTTAAAAAAGAAAAAAAAAAAAAAGCATCCTAGTTCTGGTCCATCTGACAAGCCCCATATTATTGCCTTTTGCTACTGCAGCACAGGTCAGCTTTCAGCTCTTCACATGCAAAGGAAATATTTTGCTTCTGAAGGATGTAAAGAGGCTGAAGGAAAAACATTTGTGTGATTTCAGCATTTAGAACTGTAAGTTTTGCAGAGTAATTGATTGGTGTCTGTCAGCATCAATTTATCCAGCATTGGAGGTGTTTTAATAGAATTGCTGCATGGGGCAAATCATTTGGTTGCAAACTTAGGTTTTAATTTATCCCTGTTTGTGCTGCAGAAATAAGACAAAAACCTGATTTTTAAAATAATTTTTTACATATCTTTTTATATTTTTCTCTTTAATTTTCTATCAGTCATATAAAATAATCCTGATCATCATCAGTGAGTGATTCCCAGAAAGGTTTGGGTTGGAAAGGACCTCCAGGATCATCCAATTCCAACTTTCCACTATCCCAGGTTGCTCCAAGCCCTGTCCAACCTTGCCTTGGCCACTTGCAGGGATTAAATTCAGCAAATATTCCATATTTGGAGGACTCGTTGATAATTTTGTTGTTGAGCTGCATTCCTGAGCTCGATTCTGTCACCTGTCACAGCTCTGCCAATCCTCTTTTGCTCAGTGCTATTTCTGTCCCCTCAGCATCTCTAGGTGTCCTCTCTCCAAATGACCTTTTCCTGAAATATCCTCCCTGCCATTGTGCCTCTTTTCACTTTCAAACTTGGATTTTGTCCCTTAAGCCTGCCCATAATAACTCCATTAACTTAATTATCCAGGACTCTCCTGTTCTCCTGGCATTCCACACAGAAATGGGAATTATTTGCTTCAGAAGCAGTTTTTCTTTAATAATATAATCATATTTTTTAATAGACTGACAATTCTGAACAAGCCCTACAGAAACAAGAAATTAAATATTATTTAATAGCACAAACTTTGGCCTGATACACCTGGTCAGGACATCCTAAAACTTTACTTCCCCTACATATTGTTAAAAATTTGGAGCATTGAGTTTAATGCCCATCCTAAATTCTTCCTCCAAACAGAGAGCCTGTTTTTATCAACCACTACAAGTAGTAAAATTCTATTTGTGATAAATATTTCAGTGTTTTTTCCCCAGAATCACTATAAACTGACAAGGTTTGCAACCCAAACTTCCCATTTTAGGGCAGCTTCAATGCTGTGTATCAGTGCTGTTCTTCCCAGGAAAATTGGGCTAAATAGAATCAATTAACAGCCCTCGGATGATTTTATTTTGACACCACCCTCACAGGGAAGGATTTTTTTCCCAATATCCCATCCATCCCTGCCCTCTGGCAGTGGGAGCCATTCCCTGTGTCCTGTCTCTCCATTCCTTGTCCCCAGTCCCTCTCCTGGAGCCCCTTTAGTGGAACCTGGGGCATTGGTGTGATGAATTTTCTGGTTTTGACAATATATGTCAGTGAGTTCACTTTTGCATGCAGGCAGCAGTGAAGTTTTTCTAATTTAGTTGCTCTGTGAGGGATTGAAAGCAGAATTTGAGGAGTGAGAAGCATTGGGACTAAACATATGGACTGTGGGAGGGTATGGAGCAACAAGCTCTGAGATATGGATGGATTTTCTTATTTTCTAGCACAGTCACACGTTGTTGTCATGAATCATTTGAGGGTTTTAGCTGCTCATGATCTGTTGGTTCCTGGAGAATTGCTGAATCAGAGAAATCTGGGTTCAGGATGGAGTTACTGGGGGATTTAGCAGAGAATCATGGAATCACAGAATGGTTTGGGTTGGAAGAGACCTTAAAGCTCATCCCATTCCAACCCCTCGAGGACACCTCCCACTGTCCCAGGAGCTCCAACCCCAATGTCCAACCTGGCCTTGGGCACTGCCAGGGATCCAGGGGCAGCCACAGCAAATCTGGGAATTCCATCCCCACCCTGCCAGGGAACAATTCCTGCCCAAAATCCCATCCAGCCCTGCCCTGTGGCACTGGGAGCCATTCCCTTGCCCTGGCACTTCACACTCTTGTATTCTCTCTCCAGCTGTGCTGTAGCTCCTCGAGGCTCTGGAAGGGACAATGAGGTCACCCCAAAGCTGCTCCTTTCCCAGTCCCAATTGTCCCAACCTTTCCTCACATCCATCCCTCCTGACCATCCTGGTGCCTGCTCTGGACTCGTTCCAGCAGCTCCACATCCTCCACTTGTGTCTTGACACCTCCAAGGCTGCAGCTTTTTCCTCTTTCTGCCTCCAGGGAAATCCTTTTTTTCCTTCCCCTCCAGCTGAGCCCCCTCAGGTGACACCTGAATTTCCCTTTTCATCTCCAATCCTGCAGCACTCAGAGCAGCTGAACCCTGGGCTTTGAGCAGGGGGGGTGAAGCAGGAATTAGAGAATTCCACTGTGTCTCCTTGTGGCTCCCATTAATTGGATGACACAGCATTAGTGCTTCACATCCTGGGAAAAAAACTGGATCCAGATAAGCACTAATCACTTGAAATGAGCTTAATGCACTTCCCAGCCATCCCTGCTAAATTTCCTATTTCAGCCCAAAAATCAGCCCAGCCTGGGATCCAAAGCACTGCCAGCATTCAGGAGCCTTTGAGATCCATTTTTTTCCAATAAGTATCTTACAGTCCAGCGATAAGGTGAGAAAATGTAAATTAATTAATGTGGGTAGGAAATAAAAAGGTGATGAAAATTACTATTCTCAGCATTGAACCACTTGATTTTCTGACACTGTTCCTGTCCTAGGGATTGATGCCTTATGCTCACTTTTTATTGCCACATTTGTTAATCTGAATAATTAATATTTAAATACCTAACCTTTAAAAGTGAATTTTTGCCATGTGAGCTCTCTGCTGCCTGGTTAGCTTTTATCCCCATATTTTAAGCTGTTCCACCTCTTGTACTGAATTATATTTTATATATACTAATAATTTATTTTCTGCTGGATAGTGAGAGTCCACCTTAAATTAATGCAAAGTAAAAATACAGCAGCATAAATCAACACTTTAAAGGAGTAAAAAGTAGCCAGATTAATGGTTGAGACAGCTTTGGGTGATTTTTTTTTTTTTCTTCCACACAACTCCAGTTGATTTGTTTTCCTTCCAAGTCAGAAATTGGGATTTCAGCTCCTAAAAGTTTCCTTCCAGAAGCTGAAATTTCCTTGTGAAAGCTGTTGGAAATTCCTGCCTGAAGGGAAGTCCAGCAGGAATTCCACAAGATGCTCCTTCCCAGAAATCATTTGTGCTGAAAGCCTGAGAAATATTACACAAAATATTCAACAAGAGAAGCCCCATTTTCTCCTGCAGATTTCTGCTCAAGAATTAACATTCAGGTGGGATGGGAAATTAAACAGGAGCAAAAAGGGCAGGAAAAGATAATTAATTACAGAATAAAACAGACTGGGAAACTTTCAGTCCACCTGGGTTTGGGGTTTTTCAGAATTGCTGCAGTTTCTGCATTTCAATGCAATTCCTTCTTTAACAGCAAGATTTTACTGACTGTAAAAACTGCATATTTACTGTGATATACAGAATTTTTATTTAAATACTTCAGTGTTTAAATTGATTTTATCCTGGCAATGCCCCCTGATAAAACTTCTTTTCTGTCTTTAAAAATGTCCATGGTGCATCAACATCAGACAGAAATTTGTGTTGTGTTTGTAGCAGATGATTCTGGAAGTGTTCTGTGACCTCATGATTATTGAAACTGCTGGATAAAATGATAAAGTGGTTGGGGTTTTTTATAATTTAATCACATTTTTGGCTTCTGTTTTAAATTCTGCCTGAACTGGCTACACAGAAGATTTTTTTACTGACAGTTTTAAGGCTGTGGCTGCTCTGGTGCAGTGAGAGAAGATGTCAGTGATTCCTGGGTCTGGAGTTCCAAGTTGCTGATGATGTTGCAGAAATAAATAGAATTTTGAGGGAAATGGAATATCCAAATGGGGATGTCTTTCTTTTCCTCCTGATTTTCAAAGCAGCTTCAGGTTTTGCTAATTTCTCTTTGATATTCTTTAATATTTGATCAGTTCCCTATTTATTTAAAAAAAATGAGAAAGCAACCTAATTTTTCTTTTTTTTTACGTACTAAGAAATATTTATTCTTCTCAATATAAAGAGAAAATATTATAAAATATATTTTTAATTCTAACAAAAAAAAAATCAAATTTAATATGCAAAATAACTGTATTCACAAAAGGCTCTTCTTAGAATTTTTTTATTAACAGCATTGATATTTTGGATGCTAAAAACCCTTTAAAGCACATCAGGGGTTTTTTTTTTTTTTTGTTTCCTTCTCCACTGTTTCTGGCTTTTGTGCTCCATTATATCAATACTCTACAATTCATTTTGAGGGGGAAGAATTTAATTCCATGAATTTCTACCTCCTCACCTGTGCTCTACCCAACAACTGCAGGATGCACTTGTGTAACTCAATCATTCCTTTAAGATGCTGTTGGAGAATAAAGATTTGAAACAGCTGTAAATATATTTTTTTTTGGTGTTACAATGTTGAAAATTGAATGAAATTCCGAAAACCCACACAGTCAATTAAGGCAAAGTGAAGGATTTATCTTTAAATATTGATTTATCCCATAAGGGCATTATTTATATACATTTTAAGTCTCTCCTGTGTTAATTGGGTAAGACTAACTGTTGTGACAGGTCCAGTGCACTACAAGAGCTCAGGGATTTCTGGGACCTTGAACAGTTTTAATTTCTGTTCCTAAAAGCTGTTTCACCCTAGAGAGAACTCAGGTCACTCCCTGCAGAATTTTCCATGCAAACCCTTGGTAAAGGATTCAATCCCAGCCTTTTCCCAGGGGTGTCAGGGCTTTATGAAGGAGCAGAAATTCCTACAGGACATCCCAGACTGGTTTTATCCATGAATTTCTGGTTTATCCTTATCCTGTCTCCATAATCCCCTTTTCTCCAGCTTCCCCTGCTTGGCTGTTTCAGATTTCCTTGCCTGCAGCACGAATTCTCCTAAACTGGCACAAAGCTGAGCTGGTTTGTGCTCAGGCATCTCCTGCAAACGTGGCTTGAGGCAAATATCCAAATTTCAGGTGGGAATGGGGAGCTGGACCTGCCCACTCCACCCCCTCTCACAGGAAAACTCTCCCAACCTCCTTTTCTGCAGTCATTTCATTGACATGGAGTGCAAGAATGGAAGCTGGAAGTTTCTTTAACTTGAAATTCACAGAGTAGAAATGAAGATTGGCAAAAATTTCGAATTGGCTATATTTTTCTGGCTAATGAAACAAAGAGAATTCCCTGATGGAATTATGGCTGCTCTGAGCCAGGAATGCACAGGAAAAGGGAGGCATGGGAGGCTTTGGGTGTTTCTGTGCTCCTGAACTTGGCTGTAAAGGAGGAATAAAGGCAATAATTGGTTCCTGCCCCTGCACAGAACCCTGTTGTGGTCAGTTGTAAGGTGGAGCTGGAGGTTTCTATCCTTTTTTCCTTTATTTCTGTGCAGTGAAGGGAAAATTGATAAATAAATAGCTCCAGCTCTTCTGCCTGAAGCTGACTGAGCAGAGAATTAAGAAGTGAGAGGGGAAATCCTACACTGGTGCCTTCATCTGAGTTTCTGAGTTCACTGGAATTGTCATCTTTGTGCATTTTCATTTGTGCTGCTCTTTGTGCTGAAATCCTGGGAACGTGTTTGTTTTCACCTCACCTGAAATGCCTGCAAACAATGAGTTGGGGTTTTTTTTGGGACTCCAGAGGAGGAGAACAGTGAAGCTGTCAGTGTGAAACATCATCAGCCTCATGCCCAGTGCCTGTTATCCCTTCATTGGATGTACAAAAAAAACCAAAAAAAAAAAGCCTGGGTAGGAATGTCAGTTTATAAAATCAGAAAATGGTTTGGGTTGGGAGGGATTTTAAAGCTCATTTCATTCCAGCCCCTGGGCAGGGACACCTCCCACTGTCCCAGGCTGCTCCAGCCTGGCCTTGGGCACTGCCAGGGATCCAGGGGCAGCCCCAGCAAATCTGGGCACCCTGTGCCAGCCCTGCCCACCCTGCCAGGGAACAATTCCTGCCCAAAATCCCATCTAACCCTGATTTTATTCTAAAACTGTAGATGGGATCTGTATCTGTTTCCCTTTGCTTTACAAATCCTCTCTCCAAATGACTTCCCAAGTCCAGTTGTTACTGCCATAAAAATAAATCTAAAGTAGGTACAGAAGTGTATAAAAGTAAATTTGAAGTCGACTTGGTCAGAAAATCCTAAAAACCTCCAGCAAATTAAAGCTCACACCTTGTAACACTTCCCATCCCAGCCCACAGCTCTGCTGCCCACAATCATCTCTTTGTGATTCAGATTTCCACACATGTTGAATTTTCTGACTTCGGTGGAGTTAAATTTCTGTTGTGTTGATTGCAACATCAAAGCCAATCCCTGAGCTTGCATTAGGGACCGAATCATTGCTTTCTCCCAGGAAAAAAAAAAAAAAAAAGGGAATATTGCTATTTTGAATGTACCTGTAGATAATACATGCACTGTTCCTGCATGTGTCACAATTGGCCGTGTCCTGACCGGTCCGATAGGAAAGCCTGCAAAGACAAGAACGTGAAATCAGTAAAATAATGATTTATTTTAATAAGTTTTAGCCTTCCCATGATCATTTTCATAATAATCAGAATTTCAGGATTATTTTTTTTTTTTTTACCTTGAATATTGAATGCAAAAATCCAGACATTGGGAAAATAGCATCAAAAATGGCGTATTCAGCTTAAATTGAGAAATTACTTCTTTGGGGTGAATTGATATTTTCTGCACTTTCACTCTAAGCCAACTCTGAGTGTTAAGCAGTAAATCAAAACACATAATCCATTATATCAGGAGGAGTGTACAGACTATAATAATGCAAAATAGAGTCTGTTTAGGAATTTTGTGCCTTTCAGTGAGGTCTGAATATTTGTTGTTGGGATGTTCATGTGTTAAAAGGAAGAAAATGCCTTTGAAATGACATTTCCTGTGCTCCCTTAGCCTGCAGCTGTGCTTTGTCAAACTCTCGACTTCTCATTTACCTGTGCTTTTCTCTGCTGTGCTCAATTTTAATTAAAAAGGGGGTTTTAAGATACTTTTTTATACATATATTTATTTAAATGAAAGTTTTATTTCATTAGAATAGAACAGTTGTCTGTGAACATGAATGTTCTGGTATGCAGATGAGTTAAAAATGAAAATTGTTAATTCAATACTTGTGTATTGGTACTTAGATTTTCCTTTGTAATACCACAAATTTAGATTATTTCAAAGTGAATTTCAGTTTGTAACATACAAACAAGTGCTGGCAACATTTCTTCAAAGTTGTTTTTAGAAGAAGTGGGGGAATAATTTGTCCAGGGAGCTTTGGAGGATTCCTTCAGGGAATGAGGTTCTGCCTTCAAGCCCAGGCAGTCCAGCTGATTGACCTCCAATTATTGGGGGCTGCTTTGCTTAACCAGAGTAATTTCTGCCCTTTCCTTGTCCTTGCAAGGACAGAGCTTCTCTACTGCCCTGACAATGAACAAAAAGCAAAAATCCAACATTTGGGGAAAAAAAAAAAAATTGGCTTAATTTTTTACCTGACAGAATATCCAGCCTATGCAATATCGAGTGTTAATGGGAAATTCTGCACCAACTGTTTGATGTTCCTGTCCCCAAGATGAAAAATCAGCATTTCTGAGGTGCTGCAGGCTGTTTGTGTAGCTCAGAAAATGATCAGCTGGGCTTGTGTCCCTTTTCTTTCTGATTTTAAGGATTATCAGTGGTTGGGGTGGTGGCACAGCCAAAGGCACAGAGGTGTGGGTGCAGCTCTTGGCACTGTGGTGGCACCAACAGAAGATCCTAAGAGGGTGAATCCACTTCTTTGAAGAGTTTTTTTTCCTTCTAAAAGTAAAATGCAATGTGGAATTCTTGCTGTTCTAAATGGTGGATGTTATTTGGCCTCAAAATTGCTTTTTAATCAGAGGAACGTGCTCAGATTACCAACACTGCTGATTTTTAACATCACACAAAAACCACATCACAGAGCCATGGAATGTTTGGGTGGGAAGGGATTTGAAATCCCACCCAGTGCCACCCCTGCCATGGCAGGGACACCTCCCACTGTCCCAGGTGCTCCAACCCCAATGTCCAACCTGGCCTTGGGCACTGCCAGGGATGCAGGGGCAGCCACAGCAAATCTGGGCACCCTGTGCCAGCCCTGCCCACCCTCCCAGGGAACAATTCCTGCCCAAAATTACATCCAACCCTGGTGTCATTTTCCCAACCTGGAGAATGAAATTTGAGAAAAAATTTAGGGTAGGAGTTAATATAAAAGTGGATTTCTGTTGAAGGCTTTCAGGGGCAGTTATGGAAAGATGTCTACAAAAGTCTGCCCTCACAGTGGTGAGTTCATTTTTAGGAAATTAGCATAATTGATGAAAGTGCTAATCAGGACAGGTGGTGATGCAATTTCTCTAGCTTAAGTCCCTTTTCTGGAGTCAGGCACTAAACTGTATTTTGTCCATGAAATGTATCTTGAAGAGTTGTTCTCAACTTTGGTAGTTGAGAAAAGCAACAGTAGGAAGAACCAAGAGAAGATAAAGGTCTTTGTGTTTCTCAGGGCTTGGAGCTCTGGAATTTGTGTTGGTTTTTTTGTCTTGAGAAAAGTCATGGAAAATTATTGGGAAAATAAGCCATTAATATAATAGGTTACTGAGCTCTAAATATACATGCAGAGAATACAGAGAACATAGAAAAGGAAAAAAGGCAAAACCAAAATGGCATCAAACCCACCCTCCTTCAGATGTGCAGAGGAATTAATAAAAAGCAAAATATCCATTTGATGTGCTCTTCCTTATGGGAAAAACCCCAGCCCTGGGTTATATTTACTCTAATCCTCTCTCAGAGAAACAATTCCTGATTTTCATTTTCCCCTCTTCAAATCTTTCAGAAGCTGGCATTCAAATTGTCCCTACTACGAACCTGAGACTTGTAAAATGGGATTTTTTTTTTTTTCATGCTATTGATCAACTCCTAAAAGCTCAAACTAAAGATCCAACATTTAAAGTCTGCAGATGAGTTGGGGAAGGCCTTTATTTACTGAGGACATAAAGAACAGTCAATAGCTGCCTTCAGAGGGACGTGGCTCTGCTCTTTATTGGTAAAGCCATAAACACTCTGTGCTGGTGCCAGCTTGGTTTGGGTTTTGTGTTTAAAGTTGTTTTCCTGTTGGGACATTTTCATTCATCTTTGTGGCCCTATAAACAACTGGAAATGGTTATCTTTAAGGTCCCTCCCACCCTAAACTATTCTGTGATTTGATGGTCTTTAAATGCACAATAATTCCAGATTTCCATATACTTAAAAATTTATTTGCTGGTATAAGGCTGACTTGTTAAACTGATGAAAATGGTCCTTGGATGTCAGTATTTAAAAATGAGATGATTTTTTGATGATGAGTTCGAAATCCTGATCTCTCAACTGCCACATTTGGTTTTAGCATCTTTGCAATTCTCCCTCTTCACTGGTTATAGTGATACATTCATTTTCTAGTTGGATTTAATCCTTGATTAAATTTTCTTAAAGCCCTTTTTTCCTTACTGAGTATTTTTAGCTTTTCAGAGATGATTTTTACATATTTTCTATTATTTCCTTCTTTGAGTGATCCTGTTAGAATTCCCTGAAAGCCCCAAGAACACTCCATGGTGTCCCAATGTTTGGTTTCCATCTGGCACTTTCAGAGCTCTTTAGCCAGGACTAAATTATATGAGTGTTAGAACAGTATAAATTCAATTATTTCTATAAAAATTAAACTCCTCATGAAAGAACTCTGTTGTTGATACCTCAGGGCTTTGGACTTTTACTTTCTTGTTTTCACAGAATTATCTACACAAACACTTGCATGGAATTCATCTCTTCACTCCAGCAAGGATTTCACCACTGGCACAGCATTTCCATGCAGATTTTAGGCCATGAGGTTGATTTTCAGTGCAGGCTTCGTGAAAAACAGATTTTCCATGGGTTTTAATGCCTAGGAATGATTTGAGAGCAGAGTCTGGATTACCAGGAGAAGGAGAGCAGAATTCTGTGGGATGATGCTTTCCTTGTGCCATGCAGTGTTTGGGGTAATCTGCATTTTTTTTCTTCCTCCTAAAAATAACTTGGAAAGTATTCCAGTGTAGGAGAGAGACCAAAAACTTTGTCCTTCATTAGTAAACCAGTTGTTATTTTTGGGAAGAATAAATTCTTTCAAATGTCAAGTCTTTCACTAAGCAAAGTTTCCTACAGAAAATCTGTTGCCTTTTTAGAGAAATGAAAGTTGGCTTTGGCCTGGTGCAGATCCCAGGGGTTATTCCTGGAATTTCAGATTGTTTTGGATGTGATGTTTTCTGATGTCCACTGAGGGGGAACCTCCAGAATTTCATCCTTTGTACCTCACATGCTGTGTTTTGTGTTTCCATGGGATGTGTAGAGCTTGGGCAGGTCATGAAATCCCAAAATCCCAGACTGGTTTGGGTTGGAATGAACATTAAATCCCATAAAATTCCATGGGCAGGGACACCTCCTATTGTCCCAGGCTGCTCCAAGCCCTGTCCAAGCTGGCCTTGAAGGTCCTGGAGCAGGGATGGATGTAGGTGAGTTCAGTTTTTCTGTCTGCATCTCCCCTTGGAAAGATCTCATCTCCAATTTTTCACATATTTTTCCATATTATTTTCAGGAGATTTTCAGTTTCTGGCAGGGTTGGTTTTTTTTTTTAGCATTCTGGGCACAACCTGTGCTTAACCTCAATTAACACTCCCAAGTATTAAAATATCATAATGAAGAACAACCATTTTGCTGACATGGACTGGCAGGAACTAAGAATAGGCTGCAGTTTTCAGAGCAGCCTGAGGGAATTACACTCTCTAAATCCCTGTGAAACACAGAATTTGTGCACCTGCTGGAGGCTTTTTTTTTTTTTAATACCAACTTTAACATAAAAATCTTTGCATTTGAATATTTGTTGCTTGTGTAAAAGTTAGAGAAACCCCATTGAGCTGGGACAACTTAGATCTGTGTATGCTGGGGTTTTTTTTTTTTTAATGGCATATATTAAAAACAAAGCAAAAACCACAAAAAGTGATTTAGAAGGATTTTGATCTGTTAGATCTGGATGTCCTCCCTTCTCTGCTGGGAGTCAGGGAATAATTGATATTAATGGCAGGATTTTCCAGAAGTGGCTGTGATGGGTACAGAGCAGGATGATCCTGGTGCTCCTCACACTTCTCATGGATTATCACCAGCAAGGAGGATGAACAGACTTCAAGAATATTTGTTTTGCTTGCTGTTTGTTATTTAAATATAATGAAGCAAATGATCTTAAGCAGGCAGTGAGCCTTTGAAGTGTGTTTGAAGTGAGTTCTGGCCTTGCACAGAGGAAGTGCAGGCAGGCCCTGCTTCTCCTGAAATCTTTGTTTTAATTGGAGTTTTATTATTTCCTAGAGCTGCTGGGACAGTTCATAACACAACTGGTTCAACCTACTGATCCCAAAATCCCAGAGTGGTTTGGGTTGGAAAGGATCTTAAAACCCACCCAGTTGCA